AAAATGTAGAGTTAAAAACAACCAACATCAAAAAAGTGTATGGTAAAAATGTGGCATAAAACTGGATAATACATACATTTATGACAGCTTCTGGCCAACAACCACAACAATGACACATGCACAAATAGGATATGACGCCATTGACAGGAAACCGGTGACAGATTTCTCTGGGTTTGAACATTGTTGAAAACATTTGGGATATGTAAGCACACAACTTAACAATATATATAACATAGGTCTAGTGTTTATAGACATTTTAATGTTACATGTTATTGCTTTAAAAATGGGCATTTAACTGTTCATTAGTGAGTTGATGTAAATTGGATGTAGTTTCGTTATTAAACAAATAAGAAAAGTAAATATTACAGAGTCTGCAGCAAGAGGGCCTCCTCCTAATGAACTATTTCTATTTTAGGCTTTAAAATAGCATAATGATTTCCATTTGAAAACCCCAATGTTAGTTGTTTTAAGGCTGCTATTCTTTCAACTGCAGTAAAGGATATTAGTAATATGTTAGTAATACATTTGCAGCCCATCCATCTGTTCTCTCTGTGTCAGTTGTTGTTGCTCCATTGACCCTGGGCAGCATTGTTTCTAAATCTGCCCTCCGTCCAAACACACAGGCAGAACAATACAGCAGCATTATGTCACTGACTGACTGACAGAATAGATATGTGTGTATCTTTTTGATGCATTATCACTCAGGTAAAATCCCTCTGTGTCTATAGTTTGCTTCCTGACATCATTGTCTCTGTCATGCCCTCCTCTTCGTCCAGCAGGGTTTGTTTTGGCAGCCCTGGGTGTCTGGTGTGTGGGTGGCACTGGGTCGCACCAGGGTCTGGACCCAGTGGTGCCCCCCCGATCCTCAACCCTGATTCTGCTGACAGGGTCCAACACACCATGAGATAATGTCATTCCAGAGGGATCGTGGCTAAAGCCTCTCTTTCTGGCTCTCAGGTATATAAAGAGGAGGCAGCTGTATAGCAGAGGACAAAGCACTCTGGAAACATTTTTCACTCATTGCTTTTCATCCAGATTCTGTTCTGTCTACCTTGCCTCGCCTCTCTTGCTTCACCTGCTGGACTCTGAGCTGAGCGGGTACGTCTGCCAACCTGAGCCAAGCCAAGCCGAGCTAGACCAAACTCTCCAGTCGCTATGGATATTGCCATCCAGCACCCCTGGTTCAGACGTGCCCTGGGCTCTGCCTACCCTGCCCGACTCTTTGACCAGTTTTTTGGAGAGGGCATGTTCGACTATGACCTCTTCCCCTACAGCACCTCAACCATCAGCCCCTATTACAGACAGTCGCTGTTCCGCAGCTTTTTGGATTCCTCCAACTCTGGCACCTCCGAGGTAACTAAATGAGACTCAGGAAATATACTGAGCCTCTTTAGAGAAATGTGGAGACAAAGTTGGCTTTGTTTATATGTTCATAGGAGAACAGATATATAGAAAGCAAATGATTGTGTCAAAACAAAGCTTTAGTAATGTTAAGATAACACCAAAGCTCATCTTAACCTCCCTTAAAATTTAATTCAAAATAGTTATTGCAATTTTTTGTATCTAGTGTTGCAATTTGTTCTTTCCTAAAAAACACGGATGCTTAGATCAATATAAGTAAATGCAATTTCCTTATAACTATCAATAGTTATGGTAGTTATGAGGTTCTTCTGTCCCTTTTATCATCCACTGTCCTAATGTTTGTGCAGTTATTACATTCATTTGTACTTAAATTTGATATCTTGACTTTGTTTGATTCATTACTTGAGTTCTCTACATCTAAACCTAAGTTCTACATCAATGACTTACTTTCAGAGGTTCAGTCTCTTATATATCTCTCAATGGTCCCTCTCTATGCTTGCTGTGTCCCCCTCAGGTGAGGTCTGACAGGGATAAGTTCACAGTCTACCTGGATGTCAAGCACTTCTCCCCTGATGACCTCAGTGTGAAGGTCACTGATGACTTCGTGGAGATCCAGGGCAAGCATGGAGAAAGACAGGTAGCGCTCCTCTTCTCTGTTGTAAACACACTTTATCACTTTTGAAAATAGTTAGTACGACTATTTAAAACAGCATGGGGTCAATGTATACTGACAGGGGTGTTTGTTATGTTGTTCATTTCCCACCAAAGACCAATGTAACCATGATCAAAAAGCGACTTATAAAATGTAACTGCTTAAAGGTAATAATAAGAGGTTTGCGTGAGAGCTGGTTTAATGTTTAACAGAACTATAAGAGCTGGCTGGTAAGTATAAAACACTTCTCAGCAGGACAGACACTACTGAATGACCAAACTATTATAGGAATACTACAGGCAGCAGTGTGTCTCTGTTATCCTCTCATTCTTCTGTGACAACACATTGCTACTTGTCACTTTGAGCATGAAGGTGACACTACAGAGGATATAGGCTACAATATAGTATAGCTATAGTTATATGTATATATATATATATATATATATACACACACAACTGACAGACAGGAGGGAGTGAGGGAAAAAAGGCCCTATTACAAATCTGTCTGCTACTTCAGCACCACAGACAGCGCCATTCATTTTGCATACACAGCACAGTAAAGCTACTGATATTTCAGAGCCATGGTCGGATAAAGAATCAATGAGTCAGGCAGAATAGACTAACATATTCAATAATCCCTCTGCCCCTACTCTCTCTCTGCTACAGGGGCATGGAGAGGGGGGATGGCAGGTTGACATGGGGGATTACATCCCCCCTCAAATCGCCTGCTGCTGAAATGATGTGTATATGATACGATTTTTTAACAAAATGAGACTGAAGACAAACAATGACTGAAAAAGATTCCTGTATTATACAGTATACAGTAGTACAGTAAGTATCTACAAAATGTATTTTCTCATATTATCTTTATCAAGATAAAGAATCCTTTTTTATACCTGAGGTAGGGTATACATTGTGCAAAACAATGCATATTTCCTTTTCTTTGTAAAAAAATAATAAAGCTACTGACATGGGTGACATTGAAGTCAGAAGTAGATAGCACCCTCAGCTGCTTAAAAAGAGTATCACGATTTATTTTTCATCTCACTGATTTGAATCTTCATATATAAGTAAATATATATCAACTTTATTTTTATGATTTTGTTCAGAACCGACAGGTCACCATGGGCAATAGAACATAGTTAAAATGTTATTAGTAGTGCAGTTAGCTTTGTATAAAGGGTTATATATTATTACTCCCATAGTGAATCTTCATATATTTTTATCACAATTTAACTGTCTTGTGATATATCCTTACATTACAATTCTTCCCTAAATGCCTGCACAATAAAACCATGTGAATCAAATAGTAGTCTATTCTGGGTATATCCTACTCCACAGTACATTAGGAAAGACAAACTCTAGTAAATTTCCAGTAAATGTCCCTAAAGTGTACAACTGCAACTAAATGACTGTACTCCCATGTCACAATGAACTACATCTAAAAGGCTTGTGTGAGGGTTTATGTAACCTCCTGTATTAGCTAGCAAGATCACCTCGTTTCAACAGCACTTAGAATACACAACATCATGAGGCAAATCCATTATTTTCTTCTTTCAACTGTTAGATTTGTTGAGCTTCAAAATGTTAACAGTTTGTTGAACAAAATTAGTAAATGTTATCTTTGCAAAGAGTTTATTTGTATAACAACTGAATTTAATTATTGAAATTGACTTTTCCTTTAATCACTGTGAATCCTGCTGTTTTTTAGGACGACCACGGTTACATCTCTCGTGAGTTCCACCGCCGCTACCGCCTCCCCTCCAGTGTTGACCAGTCAGCAATCACCTGCACCCTGTCATCTGATGGTCTGCTGACCCTGAACGGGCCAAAGGTAATGGGGGGGAGTGAATCTGGCCGCAGCGAGCGCAGCATCCCTGTCACCCGTGACGACAAGCCCAACGCCGCTGCATCCTCCTAGAGGCCAAGTGGTGGGGGCTGACGAGGGGTGCTGGAGGAGCTTGACACCCCTACAACCTGCATTAACTGGGATGGACGAGAATCTCTATCTCCCAACCCTTGGCTTCTTCTCCCTTTTCTTTAGAGGATATCTGTGTCCTCCTCACTTCACCTTTCTCCTCTATAGATTCTTCTTAGCACACTCTTACAGTATTATTAGTATCATTGTTTTGAGTATAACAAAAATCTCCCCCCGAGGATGGTTAAGTGAAGGGCGGCTGGACTTTTTAAGGAGAAAACTCATCTAAGGACGAGACATTCACATGACCTGATGCCTCATTCTGCTGATTGATCTGTGTCAGAGCAAGCACTCTGAAAGTATAGATGGTTGAGGTTAAGCTTGGAGGTAAATGTCACATGTCTTGTCTCAGATTTTTCATCAGTGAAGTTCTGAGGCCCTGGCTGCTTCCATTCTTGTGCTGACTCTTTAAACCCTCTCTTGTCTTAAATATACCCTGTACTGTAGTCTAGGCCTTGTTCAGTGGATAACTGCTCATTACTGAGAAGTCCATACTAAATAAACATACAATAAAGCTGTACAATTAACAAAAAGCAACTCTTGTGAGAATGTATTCTTTACTCTTCACATCAGGTTTCAGTTTAATCAGTGTGGTGCTATCTAACCCTTTCTAAGTCCAGCCCCTTTTTGATCTGTGCTCCAATAACAGTTGAGGAAGCCTCGGCCAACTTTCTCCTTTCCTGTACTTAGATATGCTATGTGTTAGGCTCGATATGCTATGTGTTAGGCTCGTCTACATTGAAAAGACAACCATATTTTGAAGGTGGTTAAAAGATTAAAGTTACATATACATAATCACATCCTAAGTAAATGTTAGCTAACTACCTAACAATTGATGTAAATAAGCTAGTTAGCTAACTTGCGTTTTGCTAACATTAGCTTTCTGATGTAACTATCTCACTGATTACTGTATTACTATACTGTACTATTTTCAAGAGCATGGAGGAAGCTCCACATGGATTATAAAGTAATAGTGATGGATTTAAGATGCATGAAATATATATCAAACAAATATCATTGAATCAATCTCAGAAACTGAAAGAGAGTGCTCTGAAAGTGTACAAACATCATATTTAATGTGTCTTATACAAACCTGTATTATCATATTCACATTACGTGGGTAACAAACCAATTAAGAAACCATAATGAACAAATCTGAAGGCTCAACAGTGAACAGTGCAAGTTAAAAAAGTTAGGGAAAAAAAGCAAAAAGTTCAGATATAAACGGTTGTTCCTTTTACTTGAATATATAGGTTTAACTTTGAAACTTTCACCTTTACGTTCTCTCCTCACTTTGCACATGAAGTGCTAAGAACAGCACAAACATAGACAGATCTAAAGTGAAAGGAAGGGAAGTTCATATAGGAGAAGAACTGGATTGAAGATACCGAATCCACATCAGAGGGTGCTTTGTTTACATCCCTGATCCTGGAAATACACAAACACTCTTTTTTCATCATTCCACACTTTTATGTCTAGGACACACTTATTTAAAATAAACTGACAGATTATCATTCACTCTCCGTCACTGTTTGAAGTCTTGTCAAAATAGTCTTCACTTAAGTCCCTTTGGGTCTTATTGTTCCTTCACTTGGATGTTTGAGCTTCACTGTGAAGAATAATGTACTGATGTGCTTTCGCGTTTATTTGCCGAATGGGGAGAGTTTCTTTGTGCTCACATTAAAGATATACTATGCCCGTTGTGTAAACTAGTAAATGCACCATTCAAAGTTGGCCCCTCCTCCCTAACTTGAGCAAGTCAGAAAACACCTTTTTTGGGCAACAGAGAGAACAAATAAGTAGAGGGAGTGTCATTAGCGAGAACAAAGCAGTGAATCGGAGAAATGCAATGCTATTTTCTGACTGAGTCACAGTGGTTCCTTTTTAAAAATAGACACTGCCTCATGTCCGCACAACTTTGCAGGAAGGAGCCAAATTTCTGAATGTTTGTGTTAATGCAGCTGAACTATAGGTCAAAAAGACACAGACACACAGACCTGCAGCTCGTTATGCATCCATGGTACAGACTGGGAGCAGATGATAAAGATAGCAATATAACCTGGTTGCTATGTTTTTATAGAGACAATGGTTTAACATATGTGGTACCTGTTGGAGGGCCTGCAGGTCCTCCAGGGTCTGCTGGGCAGCCAGTCTCAGGCTGGGCTGTGCTGTAGAGGTAAGCCGGCGGACACGAGCCTGGAGGTCTGGATCCAGCAGAGAGGAGCCCAGCAGGAGCAGCACCTCCTCCTCCAACAACACAGACTGCAGGAGACGCAGAGAGTGGAGACACACCTCCCAGTCTCCATCTGTCAGACAGACAGAGCTTTTTAGTAGTGTGGAGGCTAAAACCTGCACATTTTTTACAGGAATATAGTCTATATAAAGTTGGTTTGCATAGCCCCAGGTGACATTGCTGACTTAAAGGTCCAGTGTGTAATATTTAGGAGGATCTATTGTCAGAAATTTAGTATAATAATTATAGGTGTTTTCATTAGTGTATAATCACCTGAAAATAAGAATCGTCAAACTTCTGTTAACTCAGAATGATGCTTCATTCTGCTGATTGATCTGTGTCAGAGCAGGCACTGTGACAGTATAGATGGTTGGGGTTAAGCTTTGAGGTAAATGTCACAGATCAGTTAAGTTCTGAGGACTGGCTGCTTCCATTCTTGTGCTGACTCTTTAAACCCTCTCTTGTCTTAAATATATCCTGTACTGTAGTCTAGGCCTTGTTCAATGGATAATTGCTCATTACTGAGAAGTCCATACTAGAGAAACATACAATAAAGCTGTACAATTAACAAAAAACAACTCTTGTGAGGATTTATTCTTTACTCTTCACATCAGGTTTCAGTTTAATCAACGTGATGCTAATTGACCGTTCCTAAGTCCAGCCCCTTTTTGATCTGTGCTCTAATAACAATCAAGGAAGCCTTGGCTAACTTTCTCCTTTCCTTTACTTAGATATGCTATGTGTTAGGCTCAATATGCTATGTGCTAGGCTCGTCTACATTAATTCAGAATAAACATTTTATATTTACAAATGCTGAGGGTCGCCTTCCATGGAGTCCGCTGTTGAACTGCTGTGTTTCTACAGTAGCCCAGAAGGGACAAACTAAACACTGGCACTAGATAGGAACATTCCGCATTTCCCGGCCACTCTAGTTTCTCCTTTGCACTTGGAAAAGGAATGTGAATCAAGGGAGTTGCCACAACTACACCGCAAGATGCCACTAAATCCTACACACTGGAAGTATATCTATTACTTTTGCACAGAGCTCCTAAGGGGACATGAGCAAACCTCATGCACACTAAAGGTACCCCATGGGCAGTAGTAACTAGTGTATTTATGGTTCTCAAATGTTTCCTGGCATTAAAAACATTCTTGCAATCATTAACAATGATAGTGCAACCAAAACAAATAAAAAAGTATCCAGGTTGAACTTTTGTGAAGGTCAGCACGATAGCATCAGAAAAAACCTAAAAACCATAAATCATATTAATTCAACTTTGTTTCACTTCCCTAGTCATCTACACCTCCCCTGCAAAAGCTCTATGCCACACCAGGGGGGCCTGCCCCACAGATAACCCCTGATATAAATGTTTGACCACAACTGTACACACCAACTATTCAGTGGTCCTTTATCAATGGGTCCTTTTATTGTGAAGGCAGTTAGTCATTATACTGTATATAACTATGTACCATTAACATGTGTGTAATCTCCTTACCATCTAGCAGGCTCCAGATAAGACGCAGGAGGTTTTTACTGATGTACTTCAGTCCTTTAACACTGATGCTGACATTATACAGAGCCATCAGCATCAACCTGTAGCACAACAAGAGCAAAGTCAGTTTTACTAAAACACTAGTGTGTACTGCAGAAGCATAGCACTGACACCTACTGCCCACATCTAGAGTAACATGCCTGACTGAATCTATGAGTTCATTCGTTTGAGCTTATAATAAGCAGCGCCATAAGTGGTGGGTGTAAATGGTGGCTGGTCTACACTATATAGTATATATATACACTATATGGACAAAAGTATTCGGCCACCTGACCATTATACCAACAGGGACTGTAATGACATTATATTCAAA